AACTGCCATTGAAGAATTACCTCCATCAATCCAACGTTTGACTGGTCTTACATTGATGAATTTGGGAGGCTGCAGAAACCTTTTCCGTCTTCCAAGTTCCATTCAGTATTTGACGTCTCTGAAAACGCTCATTCTAACAGGTTGCTCAGAACTTGATGACATACCTGAGGATTTGAATTGTGTGGAATATCTTGAGGACCTTGATATAAGTGGAACTGCTATAAGAGAATCATCATCCATTGCAGCTATGAAAAATCTAAAGACTCTATCCTTCCAAGGATGTAAAGATCTACCTTCAAAATCATGGCATTCTCTCTTTACTTGTTGGTGGTGGGGTAGAAAGGGAAATGCTCCTGTGAGCTTGTTGCTGCCTACTTCGTTCTCTGGTTTAACTTCTTTGACAAGCCTAAACTTAAGTGATTGCGATCTGATAGATGGAGCAATACCTGATGATCTTGGCACCTTAATTTCCCTAAGGACATTAGACTTGAGTGCTAATAACTTTGTGCACTTACCCGAAAGCATCGGCCAGCTATCAAAGCTTGAATCTCTCAAATTGAGGAATTGTAGTAGGCTTCAGTCACTGCCTAAGAAGCTTCCATTAAGTGTTCGACATGTGCCCGCTGATGATTGTACATCACTGATAGATTTCCCAGATCAATTCAAAGTATGGACCTCAGATGTTTCTGGAATGACTACAATCAGTGCCCTCATTTCATCCAAGCATCAAGAATCTTCTACTTCATCACCACCAGACCCAAAACATACAAGGACATGGACTTCATCAACTGTCCCAGGGCGTAGTTTCTTTAGTTTTGACCCCATATCAGATAAACTTCAACAATGGAAACCTGTTCATGATCTTTCACTGCCAAATCAAGTGCTGCAAAAAGACATTGAAGTCTCTCTCTCACTCTGTCTCACACACACACATACCCACAAAAAAATGTCGAGCATATTTTCGCTATGCTAAGTATCTGTCTTTTTCTATAACTAATCATAATCCTTTTCTGTTTTATGTTACAGCTATTCGATTATAAGTCATATTCCATAAAGTCTTGTGATTATCAAAATGAAATTCCAAAGTGGTTCAACAACATAGCTACCAGAGATTTCATATCAATCCCGGTGCCTCCAGATTTGAAAAATGACAAGAAGTGGATGGGCGTTGCTATTGTTTTCTTGGTGAAGCGAAAACCTGGTGTCTCCCAGATTGAATCGGATTGTGCTTCTGATTACTTCTACAAATGCAGAGTGGAAACTGAGGAATTTCAACTGGAACCATTCCTCCTTGACTGGAGACATCTCAACTCAGTTGAATCAAATTCTGAGTTACTTTGTGCTTTCTATGTACCCTGTGTGTGCTTTCCAAGGATGTTAAATGAATCTTTTGTGATTGGGTCTGTATTTGAAACCAACAACCCGTGCATGGAGGTCCAGAAATGTGGGATTCATCTAATTTATGAGCAAGATGTTGAAAAGCTTATCCAAACATTCATACCACATAGTTTTGGTATTGGAGGGCGGCAGCAGCTACAACAACAAATACCTGTGCTGTCCGAACAAAGTCAACAAATGATCCCTTCTGAGCCCTCCAATTTGAATGAAGTTGGTAAAGCTACATCAGAGCTTGGATGGTTTAGTCTAGAGAATGACATTTTGAGATGGTAGAGTTTAATTTCTGAAAACTACATTATTAGCTGCCTTAAAAATTTAAAACTTCATTCTTCATTTAACGTTGGAGTTCTTTGATATATACAGGGAGAAATTTATTCCAACTTGCGAAGAAGGTTCCACAGTTCTGTTGAGAAGGAACATTGAGTCTGTTCTTCCAAGATACCTGGAGGTCTCTCTCTCTCTCTCTCTCACACACACACTCACTCTCTCTCTCTCTCTCTCTCTCTCTCTCTCTCTCTCTCAACACATTGTTTCTGCATTCTCCAGGGACTAAACCATAGGTACCAAAACTATGATTTTTCTTTAAGTGGTTCCCCAGCATGGTTCAACACTGAAGTTGGGACTTCTGTGACAATCGAGCTGCCTCAGAATCTGCACAAGAGTAAGAAGTGGATGGGGTTTTCTCTATGCGTATCACTTGCAGTGGAACACCAGCACATCGTAAAAGAGGATCAGTATCATGGTTCTTGTCGACTCGAAATGGGTAAACATTATGTGAATCTGTCCCTAAACTTTGAGTCCGTGATATCTGATAAACATCACCTTTTAATTGTTTACATTCCACGAGCAATTATTCCCGAACTGTTCACTCAAACATCATCAAGGAAAATCTGCCTTTCCTTTATTACCTATAGACCTGCTTTAAAGGTTAAGATCTGTGGGCTCCGGATTTTGTACAAGCAAGATTTACAAGGATTTGTCCAGACAATCATACAATGTATATTAGGCAGTTCAGACACCCTCTTTGGATATTATAATGAATTGGTGGTAAAACATTGGATAAACTTAATTCTGGAGCAAAATCACAAAGTCCTCACAGAGGAAAAACATAGTCCCCAAGAATGCGATCACAGTACTCCACACGAAAGAAAGTTCCAGTTGATCTCTCAGAATATCAGAAACTGGGTATGTCTCTCTATCTCTCTCTCTCTCTCTCTCTCTCTCTCTCATATCTCACATTTAGAAATTTTCTCTACAGGTCGGGTCTGACAATCACTTTGCATTGAAGCTCGCTGGAATTGAATTTCCGAAGTGGTTCTTGAATCCGAATAAAGGTGACTCTGCACAAATCGAAGTGCCTCAAAATTTGTACGATGATGGTAATTGGTTAGGGATTGCTCTATCTGTTTCTTCATCGATCCATGAACATCCAAACATCATCAATGACACTCCGGATTCAGAGTTTGCTCGTGAGCTCATTTGTGATCTGACCACTGAGGTTGATTGTGACAATAAGCTCCGTTTTACATTCGATACAGATAAAGACATGTGGTTGCATGCGCATGATTTGATTTGGTTTGTCTATATACCGCGTGCTCTGTTTCCTGAATCGTGGAATCAATTGAATCTAGTCGGTGCAACTTTTGGGTCCAACAGCCCGGGCTTAGGACTGCATGAATGTGCCATTCGTCTAGTATTCAAGGAGGATGTTGAAGAGCTTGTACAAACATTGACCGTCCGCAAGTTATCTGCAAACTGCGACCATTGCAAGGAAGCTGCAGAATATGGTAAATAGTAGTACCAACTGGACACGATTAAAGATTAGGAGAGCTTACTGGTCCCTTGCTAAGGACGATGGCAAACGTGTTGTAATTGGCCTTTAACTCGTTGCACCCAGAAAAATTGGACAATGAAGTTGTAGGCGGAAGTATATGCATTGACAGGAAGCAATTAGGAAGAAGAGTTTGATTTGAGTGCTGTGTCATCAGATGAGACATGGGTTGATATTTGCTTTGGTTTGTTTATGTTCAAGGTTTGCAAAGCCATGAACGGTTATTATTATAAGTACGTTGAAATTAGACATGGTGAATTTGTTTCAATAACTGCCAAATAACTTGAATAGTGGAGTGGATTTGTTTGGAAACCTTGCCACTATTTGTGTGTAGAATTTGGGCTAAAATTTTGGAGTCTCCTTTGGTTGATGTTATGTTTTAATTGTAGTCAAACAACCCAATTAAGTGTTTGTTTTTAACAGCAGAGTAAACTGATATCAAAATCTTTCATCCTCTTAAAAGTCAACGTCAAAGTCTTAAAGAATTCTCCATGGCGGGAGGGATGTCTTTAGATATATAGGCGAGACGATGCCACTTTGTACTTGCAATCCCTCAATCTCAACCTCAACCCTTGACTTTGAGTAAAGAATTCCAGAAATTCGCTATGGCAATTTGGTAAACACCTTGATTCGGATCATCAGATTTTTGCAAAATTAATTTGCATCCTCAATGACCCCTGAAATAGATATCGCTTGACACGCCCCGACTACGCCCTCACAGTTTTGTTTCTGGGAACTCACACGAGAACTTCCCAATGGTCACCCATCCTGAGAGTGCTCTCGTGCGCTACTCGCTTAACTTCGGAGTTCCCATGGAACCCAAAGCTAGTGAGCTCCCAAAAAGCCTCGTGCTAAGTAGGGATGAGAATATGCATTTAAGGATCACTCCCCTGGGCGATGTGGGATGTCACAATCCACCCTCCTTAGGGGCCCGACGTCCTCGTCGGCACACACGTAGCCAGGCTTAGGCTCTGATACCAAATTGTCACATCCCGGCCTGGGGCGGAACACTTCCCAGGCCTGCTCCATCACCGTAGCACAATATTGTCCGCTTTGGGCTTACCATTCCCTCACGATTTTGTTTTGGGAATTCACGAGCAACTTCCCAGTGGGTCACCCATCATGGGATTGCTCTAGCCCCCTTCTAGCTTAACTTCGGAGTTCCTACGGAACCCGAAGCCAGTGAGCTCCCAAAAGGCCTCGTGCTAGGTAGGGATGGGAATATACCACTTCCCTGGGCGATGTGGGATTTCACAATCCATCCCTCTTAGGGGCCCGACGACGTCCTCGTCGGCACACACGCAGCCAGGATTAGGCTCTGATACCAAATTGTCACATCCCGGCCCGGACCGAAACACTTCCCAGGCCTGCTCCACCACCGTAGCACGATATTGTCCGCTTTGGGCTTACCATTCCCTCACAATTTTGTTTTTGGGAACTCACGAGCAACTTCCCAGTGGGTCACCCATCATGGGATTGCTCTAGCCCCCTTCTCGCTTAACTTCGGAGTTCTTACGGAACCCGAAGCCAGTGAGCTCCCAAAAGGCCTTGTGCTAGGTAGGGATAGGGGTGGGCACGGTGCGGTTCCACCCCTAAACTAAAACCGGAACCGAAATATATTAACAGTTCGATTCGGTGCGGTTCCACTTAAATTTATTACTAGAACATTACGGTTCGGTCTACACCGGTTCCGATCCGATTCTTGCCGGTTTACGGTTCCTAATAATAAATTATTTGAACCACATCTAGTTTGATCCACATTAACATCCAAGCAAAAATTAGTCTATATCCCGAAAATCACAACCGTCATATTTTGTACAGCTACCATAGCTCAAACACTGACTGATACCAGCAAGCAAAGTTCCACAGCTCCAGTTTTGAACTAACCCTGCATGTTATCTGCGTGATAGCTATCGAGTTCCTTGTCGAGTTCATCAACCGACTTCTCCACAGGCTTCTTCCTCCCTTCTCCACCACGACCACGCCCGCGTCCACGACCACTGCCGTTGCCACTCCCACGTGGTTTGCCACGACCATTTCTGTTCCCTCCACGACTGCTCCTACTACAAAATCCAAAATCATTGTAACTGTAATCACGGCTTGAAATAGCAGTCAGAGGATAATTGAAAAAAGTCTGGTTAAAATGGGATTTCAAAGTAGACTTCAAACAACTTAGAAATGATCGAAATAGTTTGTACAATGAAATTTATGTACTGTCTGATCAGGGAAAGATGCATTCTGATATGACAAATAAGTAGAAATGCAGTTTGACAAAACTATAATTAGGTCACTGATAAACAACTAAATCCGTTCATAGTACCTAAAATATGTCTATTGAGTTCATCCAAACAGAGAAACAAGAATTCGACCATCTAAACTCAATTGATCATACAGATTTGCTCTTACGTGGTTAAGTGACATACATTTCTAAGCTAAGGCAGGCTACTGCAGTCATTATTGAGTTGCAACTTTCAACTCATAAGTTTCCCAAAGTTAATTAACAAAACAGCAATTGAGCACGTCATCAACAGCCCTAAAAAAATGCAACATTTGAAGCGAGAAGAACAGCAGCATATCCAACAATAGTTAAACCAGTATAGTTTACGAAAGATAGAATCAGAGTAGAAACAGAGATTGCAACTTGCTGCCACACACAAATTTCAACTTGCTGCCACACACAAATTTAAACAAAATCTTATGCATTTTGACTGCCATCTGCAGGTTTAAAATATGCATTTTGACTGCCACTGATTGAAAGAGTAAATTATAAATTCCACTAACTATCAATAGATTCAATACTAACAAAAGGGAAAATATAAAAGTGAAAGATTAAGGAGAAAAGGTGATAAGGAAGGTGCTAAAAAAATTAAAGTTACATACATACCATCACTAGTAAAAGGTGATAAGTTAGGATTGAATAGTTTATGAATCCGCAATGCTATTGCTAGATGTGCCACCATTCCTTTTTTCTAGAACATATAAAAATTAAGAACTCATTAGCAAATAAGAAAGTAAGCATGCAATAAACCAAGAGAAAAAACAAAAACAAAGTAATGAAAAATAAATATTCATACCTGTTTCAAGTGCTTCATAAAACTCTATATCTTCCAAGATTGTCTCATCGTCTAAAATTGAGATGTTATCTGACATCAACCAATTTTGAGTACAAATTAACCTCTCTACCATTAGAGGAGTCAATGAAGAACGATATGAGTTCACAATCCTTCCTCCCATGCTAAAGGCAGATTCTGAAGCTACCGTTGAGACCGGAATTGCAAGAACTTCCTTTGCAATTAGTGCCAACACTGGGTATTTAACACCATTCAATTTCCACCAATTTAAAATATCAAAATCTTGACCTACTTCCACTTTTTCATTGCGATCTAACAAGTACCTATCAAACTCATGGTTTGAGAGCACGGCATTACTTGCTTCAACTTCTTTTATCCAACTTTCATCCATTTCAGATGCTATTGTTGATTGGTTCGTCATCCCTAAAATAGACAAAAATAAAAATGCTACTGTTAAACTTAAACTTAAACTTAAGCAATGCAGATGCTACTGTTGGACTTGGAAATTGTTTAAATTTCCAATATGCAGCACCTAACCTCAACCTTGACAAAAGAAATGAAGACTGATACAACATGCTAGACATATGGAGTTGTTGAATTATGAATGCACCTGACCGAAACCTAACCAACAAAAGTAAGGTCATACACTACGCCTAATAAAGTGCAAATGAATTATGCAACTACCACGTTTTTCAAAAGCTACTTTCTTAAGTGTCATCAACACCAACAGTTTTAGTTACACACACACACATGAAATGGAAATCCTACGAGAGGGTTTAATATAAATTGAGCTATAGAACTGATTGCATTTGGAGAAACTTCAACCGCTAAAAACTATTATGCATTTAATATAAACACTGCATTCACAAATGAGAAAGCACACAAGTGTAGTGTAATGTACTAAAGAATTACTTGTAGAGTTTTCCAAAAGTGTCTCTCAAGCGAGCAACATCAGCACCAACAACTTCAGCCACCTTCTTTCCATCTTGAAAGAACTGGAATGTAGGCTGCACCAAAATACACACATCAGACCACGAACCAAATGGAGCTTGGATTTCACCATATCCAAGTTAAAACATATAGAAATACGAAGAAGCAAAACCAGTAATAATCCATTCAAAAGACCATCCTAAAAAGATCATCCCATGAGTGCCATGAATAAAAGAAGCTATATACAAAGAACAAAACAAATTGGAGCATTTTCTTTCAAACATTATAAGAGCAATCATTTACCACAGAGGAAATATTCAACTTGCCCAAAGTGTTTGTAAGTCCTTCCAGATGGCTATGAGCCCACAAGTAAAGTTATTGCTAAAACTAACTTGAGAATTGAAACCCGTAACAAATAACTAGATTTCATAATTAACAACACTTAATATATAACTAGATTCCAATGCGAATGCGCACCTCGTCGATGTCAATCTTATATGTTGTTACATGTGGGTATTGCTCGCTCAACTCTCCAATGACTGGAGATATGAACTTGCCTGCACAAGAGATCACACCAAAGTACCAATTTTAACTTCAAAACACATGATTACGCCACATTTCGTGCCAATGACTTCGTTGCTTAAAGGAAAACGTATTTCGAACTTACAAGGCCCGCACCAGACTGCAGTGAAGTAGAAAAGTGCTGGCTCAGCTCCGTCTATATGAAATTTAGCAAATAATCAGATAACTTGCATAAATGTTTGATAAGTTTTCTTGCAACAAAACAATTCGAAAAACCCAGAAAAATTACCTTTAGCTTTGCTGATTGCGCTGGTGTATTCATCCTCTGACTTAATGACAACAATGTTTGTGGAACCTGAAATGGGGGAATCATGATTTAGGAATAGGAATGGGGGAAAGGAAATCTGAAATGAGCGGCGTGCGTGAAGGTGAAGCCGTGATGAAGGTGTCTCCGTGTGTGTGTGTGTAAGTGAAAATGAACCCTAATTGGGATAGGATCCTCTGCTTTGCAATTTAGTGAAACCAATTTTTTCAACTTATTATACCACAACATGTGTGTGTATATATAATTTATTTATTTATTATTAATAAAACGGTTCGGTTCGGTTCGAACGGTTCTTGGTCCTTCGAAACCGGAACCGGAACCGGTTTGAATGGTTCGGTTCGGTTTTTCACTCAAAGTTGACTTTTCCGGTCAACACGGTTTTTTTCGGTTTTTTTTCTTACGGTTCGATGCGGTTTTGCGGTTTTGCGGTTTTTATGCCCACCCCTAGGTGGGGATGGTATTATACATATAAGGATCACTCTCCTGGGCGATGTGGGATGTCACAATCCACCCCCCTTAGGGGCCCGACGTCCTCGTCGGCATACCACGACCAGGGTTAGGCTCTGATACCAAATCTGACACGCCCCGACCACGCCCTCACAGTTTTGTTTCTGGGAACTCAGACAAGAACTTCCCAATGGTCACCCATCCTGAGAGTGCTCTCGTGCGCTACTCGCTTAACTTCGGAGTTCCCATGGAACCCGAAGCTAGTGAGCTCCCAAAAGGCCTCGTGCTAAGTAGGGATGAGAATATGCATTTAAGGATCACTCCCTGAGCGATATGGGATGTCACATCGCTGCTTCTTCTTCTTCTTCTTCATCATTTTTGATGCGATGGGGCAAACACTAGTCCCCGTTTTCTATCATGTCCGTCCATTCGAGGTGCAAAAACAAGCAGGTAGTTTAAACAAAGCCTTTTTTGACAGCATGAACAAGCATTTCAAGGCAATGTAGAAAAGCTCAAGTATCCAATCTCTCTGGATCGCAGTTGGAAGATGGGTACGAAAACGCCCAAAAGTTTGGTCTTTCTTTTCTTTTTACAAAAACAAATGAAATGTCTGCTACTTGTTAGAACCTAGCTCCACATCTTCAATGGCTGCACAGAGAGAGAGAGAGAGAGAGAGTATAACAAAAGAACAATACTATTTCATTGACTGTTGAGCTTTCCTTACAATTTGCTATTTCTAGGATAATCGAAGAGTTATTGGGGCAACATTGGATACCACTAGTGGCACTACGTCACGTCGCTACGATATGAGCAACCAAATATCATGTTGTTCTTACTAGAATTTATATGAAGATGTCTAGGTATCGGACCTTTTCCATGGGTAGTACTTCTGATAAATGATCAATTTCAGTCTACTTCGCGTTGGGGCATTGGGTAAATGGACTAGTTTGTTTTGTCGGTACTTAGTATGCCAATTCATAGGTGTACCCAGGTATGTATATTTGCTGTGCTTCCTATGTTTAGACTTGAGAAGTGGTAGTTTTGTTTGTTGTAGTTATTGTAGTTTCATTATTTAGTAGTACAATGCTTATCTTCAAAGGGCTGATGCTGAACTTCGGAAGTCGATAGTTCGTAAAAAGAACCCTTTAAAACTTCTTTACATTATTATCTTCTTAATGTTGGAATTTTTTTCATATTTGTTCTTAATTCTTGTATATAATCATGGACATTTAAATCAATGTTTGATGGGGTTTCATTTGGATTGTGAGACTCGTACACAGTGTTCTAAATAACGAGTATGAGACGCAATTTGGTCTAATGTGTCTATGTATGCAATCCATGTCACATGTGGGCTCAATATCTATATGTCGTGATCCCATATTTCGTTGTATTAGTAGTGTGTATTCTCTCTATAGAACACAATGATGCTTGTTAGATATTTTCTGGTTGGTTTATGATCTGACTTATGGACCAACTGACTTGACAAAACCCAATGAGACTTTCAAAGGCAATGACATGTCTAATTGTGCTTTGATCAATGAGTGAAATTTTCTTCTTTTCCATACCTTTATGCTCTGAAAAGTAGTTACAATTTGTTAGTTTTGTTCTATACATGCTTCATCCACAACTCTTAAGTCCAAGTTGAAATGGTTTATTTCTTCCAGTATCGTAAATGATCTGGATGACTTAGAGTAACAGAGTTCAGATTTCTGCTGCTGCCATTCCCAATATTTTGATTGCTAATATGGACTAATATGGAGACTGTGTTTTGAAGTTAGGTATAGTCAATTTAATGAACTAATATGAAGGTTACATTATGGTAGATGCGGTGTTTTTCTCAACAGAGTGATTGCACTGTAAGCTCCAAAACCTACAGAAACACTACCATGACAGCATCAAACGGTAAGCTCCTTGATGTTGATGTGCTAGCATTTCTGTAGGTTTGGATACCAAAGTTTCCATATATGAAATATTTCATTGGTTACCAAGCATCTAGGTGTAGAAGCATGGTCCTGTTGAAATAGCATCCTTTGTTAATTTGTGCATATTTTGTGTGGGATTTGAGGGTTTAAGTTGCTTATTTAGTATTTGTATTCAAATTAGCAGTAAAGGATCTGGTTTCTCATATGGGTTATATATTTGTTGCAGAAACATGTCGAATGGACAATGCCAAGAGTGAAGAGGTATTGTTTTAAGTTGAAAACAATTAAGTTTAGGTTGGTTTGTTAAAGGATAAAGAGAGAATGGTGGGAAGCACAGGAGTAGAACCTTGCAATGTTGATTGCATTATGAAACTAGTGTTAAATCATGGAGGTCTGATTTGGTTATTTGTAATCAAGTCTAGAATGTGGTTTATAACTTGATATTACCCTATTTACTTGTGTCTAATTCTGTTTTAAGATATACTTTTGTAAACACAAATATTCCTGCGATGAATGAGACAAGAACATATGTACAAAATAATATTTTGTATTAATTTTGGGGTTACAATCTCTTTTACAATTTGATCCTCTGATTCTATCTTCGTAAGGTATAGATTTGTGGATGGGATGTTGATCCAAAGGGTTGTCGAGGCTTGGTCTAGGGATGAATAGTGGTGCAGATTTGTTGATGTTATTGATCCAAGGGGCCGTCAAGTCTTGATCTTGAGAATTTGGGAGGTAGGATGCTTGAAAGCTTTAGAGTTTCATAGCTTCAAGGATTTGGGGAACTATCTTCCAATTTGGGAGTAGAGAAATGTATATGTGAATTGGTCCAGTGAAATGAATGAAATTCGCTTCTATTTATAGAATTTTTCAAGGCCAAATTTTAAATATAATATTCAGATGAAATAAATCATTTATGTCAGGTGTTGACACATGTCCTATTTGATGACTTATACGATTTTTTTTAATTTTTCGTTGAGTCACACGCTACGTGTAAAATTTATGTGACACGTAAACGTTGAAATTTTAATGCATTGGTTAGCATTTATTTCACCAAAATTTCGATGTCTACAACTTTCATTTTATTTATTTCATTGGATTTTTGACTTAATGCAATCTCCTGTAATTAGTTGTGTTAGCCTTTTACCATTGTCTTGTATATCTTCACAAAAGTATGAAGACCCCAATTACTTTGAGTGGTATCAGATGTGTTGTTTCCTGTTTTATTTGTATTTGGTGGACGGTCTTACTTGGGTTGGTCATTCACTTATATTTATTAGCTTTTGGCTTTCTCAGGCAGTGCTGCTGTTAGTTAAGAATTTGAGCTTCTGGTGTGAGTATAAATTTCTTGTCCATTTCAACTTTTTGACCATATTATGTGGAGGGTGATTCATGTATTAACAGAACATAGTAACTTATGATAAGTAGTCCTTGCATGTTAAATAATGTGGTATGATATGTGGTAGTTTGTATTAAGGCATCGTTTGGTACGGAGGATTGGATTGAAGTGGATAATTCACAAATTTTAAGGCAAATTGAAGGTAGCAATGAATGTTTATTTAGAGGAATTAGTAGAGAATTGGACATGAAGAAAACTCATCCCTTCCAGTCCTAACATTTTGGAAAGGATTGGAATGATAAGTTTCCTTCATGAGTGTCCATGTTCTACCCTCTAGTTGGTCATAAGTTTTTTCATTTCTCCCTTCAATGTCCCTTGAGATTAGGAGCCACCTATTCCAATCCAATCTTACTTACCAAATGAGCCCTTGATGCAGTGCATATGTGTGGGTTCTCTAGCATTATTCTTTCTCCTTCCTCTCTTCCGCTGCCGGAGGCATGGTGTCACTTCCTGGCACAATTGGAGTAAAAAGCATTTACTGGCGTTACAATGAAATGGATAGGGCTCCCGTGTGCTCGTGGCAGCCCCACTTTGCAGAGAGGCTTTATGGTAGGTTGCCTGCAAATGTGTTGAAAGGGTAGAATGGGCAATTAACAGACAACATGCGTGGTGTCACTCCCTGACTGCATGCTGTTGATTTTGGATTTTGGATGTCAAAGCATGCATTCACATGAGTGTACCAGATGTGCTCATGCATTCCTTTTTAATCAGAAGAGGATTACGTAGAATGGTAGAAAAACACGTCCTTAACCCGTGCATAACATGTGCACGCTTATGTCACTAGGAGAAGTATCGTTTACATACAATGCTTCTCTCTCGTACAAATGATTATGTTATTTGATGACAGCACAATGATAGAATGTTCGTTAAGATGTTATATTGAACTTGATGTGGCAGGTTCTCCAATCTGGATGGCGAGTCTTTATTGGTACAGGTGAACCAAGGAAAGCATTATCATCCATCCCTGTAACTATTTTCAATCAGTAAAACCTGATGTTACACTTTTATCGCACCGTGGTTGTAAAATTGTGAGAATGAATGTCCACAGTAGTGTAATTGTTGTTATGTGATGTTTTCAAAAGGGTAATAGTAGTGTAATTGTTGTTGTGTGAAGCTTTCAAAAAGAACAATCATTTCACTTTTTGGTTTGTCATGAATGTGGCTCTGTATAAAGAGTATTCTATGTGTGATTACAATACACAGCAAAGAAAGAAGTGAAAACAATAATATCATTTCACTTTTTGCAATCCCTTGATATTATAGTTACGAAACTAAATAGTATGATATTTTGTCTATTTATAACAACCGTAAGCTTTTAAGCAAAGAATAATTATGGGACATGATCAATGGTAGTAGCGGTTTCAAGGTTCTTGTAACGTTTTCCTGACCACATTGGGTGCAAAAGTAGTGCAATTATGCATACATTCCACCAAGACATTGATCGGACTAACGGAATAGGATGTCATCATAATAATCCAACCCAATAACAACGGACAAGGAGCTTGCTTGTCGGTGCCGTCAGTGGCTTTGCTGACTACTTGGGAGGTCGAGGTCAAGGAGCAAGCCGCACACGAGCAAGTGTCATGTTACGCCCATGTGCTCTCACGCTCGCGTCTCGCATCTCTCATCGGACAACCTTCACCTCATCTTTCACCCTGCTCGACGTGCAAACCAATGATAATGATCTGCTCGGTCAGGTGCGGGTTCTCGCCACCCGCGGCCACCTCCAGGAAGCGCTCTCACTCTTCTACTCCCTTCATCCCCCACGACCTCACTGCCCCCAAACCTACGCCACTCTTTTCCACGCCTGTGCCCGCCACCGCCGCCTCCAAGACGGCCTCTCTTTGCACCGTTACATGATCGCCCACAACCCCATCCACCCACCCGACCTCTTTGTCACCAACCACCTCATCAATATGTATGCCAAATTTGGTCACTTGGACTACGCCCACCAACTGTTTGATGGAATGCCCAGTAGAAACCTTGTCTCTTGGACCGCTCTCATTTCCGGGTACGCCCTATGCGGACAACCCCAAAGGTGTTTGAGTTTATTTACTGGCATGTTGGTTCACCACCGCCCCAACGAATTTGCTTTCACCAGCGTGCTCAGCTCGCTCGCGGAGAGTGACGGTGTTTATGGTCGGCAGGTACATGCGCTTGCTTTGAAAATGTCTTTGGATGCTTGTGTTTACGTTGCAAATGCTCTTATTACTCTGTACAGCAAGATTTGTAATCCTGGAGGTGTTTATGATGCTAGTAAAGACGAGGCGTGGAATGTGTTTAAGAGCATGGAGTTCCGGAATCTTATATCTTGGAATTCAATGATTGCAGGGTACCGGTATCGCGGACTTGGGGCTCAAGCTATTCATCTTTTCATACAAATGTACCTTGACGGAATTGGGTTTGATCGTGCCACACTTCTCAGCGTCCTCTCATCCTTATGCAGAAGCAACGGCCTTGATGATAATGTGGTTTCTAAGTTTTGTTTCCAATTGCACTGTCTCACGATCAGAACCGGGCTTATATTAAAAATTGAAGTTGCCACTGCGTTAGTTAAAGCTTATTCAGATCTTGGAGGAGATGTTGCGGACTGTTACAGGCTTTTCTTGGAGACAAGTTGTCATCGGGATATTGTTGCATGGACTGGCATCATAACAACTTTTGCAGAGCGAGACCCTGAAGAATCACTCTTCCTCTTTCGTCAATTGCGTCGTGAGAACTTAGTTCCCGACAGGTATACTTTCTCAATTGTTTTGAAAGCTTATGCAAGCCTTGCAACCGAGCGCCACACCTTGGCAGTTCAATCACAAGTGATCAAAGCTGGCTTTGAGTGTGACACAGTACTTGCAAATGCCTTGATCCATGCCTATGCTAGGTGTGGCTCCATTTCCTTGTCTAAGAAGGTGTTTGATGGAATTGAATTTTGTGATGTCATTTCGTGGAATACAATGATTAAGGCTTATGCCTTGTATGGACAAGCTACAGAGGCATTGCATCTCTTCTCACGTATGAACGTCCAACCTGATCCTGCCACCTTTGTTTCTCTCCTCTGTGCTTGTAGCCATGCTGGACTGGTAGAAGAAGGAACTCGTATCTTTGACTCCATGATTGAGGTATATGGTATTGTACCTCAACTTGATCATTACGCCTGCATGGTTGATATTCTTGGTCGAGCTGGACAAATTGTTAAGGCTGAGGAGCTTCTAAGTCGAATGCCAATGGAGCCTGATTCTGTAGTCTGGAGTGCACTCCTTGGGTCATGTAGAAAGCATGGAAAAACACCGTTGGCCAAGTTAGCAGCAGATCGACTGAAAGAGCTAGCACCAGAGGATTCATTAGGTTATGTACAAATGTCAAACATGTTTTGCTCTGACGGTAAATTTGGTGAAGCAGGCCTAATTAGGAAGGAAATGAAAGAGGTCTAGAGTGAAAAAGGAACCTGGATTAAGCTGGATTGAGATTGGAAATCGGGTCCATGAGTTTTTCTCTGGAGGCCAACATCATCCAGAAAGGAACGTTATCTTCAGGAATTTAGAAGAACTGATTGTGCGGTTAAGAGAAATGGGTTATGTTCCAGACACAAGCTTGTCAGTGCATGATGTGGAAGAGGAACACAAAGAGGAGCAGTTGTACCATCATAGTGAAAAGCTAGCTTTAGTGTTTGCTATTATGAATGAAGGTAGTTCAAATTGTGGTCGGACTGCTATAAAAATAATGAAGAACATAAGAATCTGCGTGGACTGCCATAACTTCATGAAGTTAGCATCAAATCTACTTCAGAAAGAGATTTTTGTGAGAGACTCAAACCGGTTCCACCACTTTAATGATGGAATATGCTCTTGCAATGACTACTGGTAACAAACGAGCAGAAGTAAACCACACTGGTTGTGCCTGATTTACCAGCATGCTCGATGGATCATGGTTCAGTTGTGAATGGTTCATGCAGATGCTGTTGATACTGAATTTTTTTCCCATGATTTCTGTTGATCATTTGAGCCAGTGTCAACTTGATAGGGCTTGTCACAAGGCTGAGTATTAGGAATGTCGTGTCCATGACTTATTGCTGAAGACAAGGTTGATTTTGAGCTGGTCAGTGTTAGACAATATAAACCAGAGTCTCATCAAGCAAAGCAGAAGGTTGTTTTTGTCCGCATTTTACTATGTCATTTTGAGCTAGGGTTCTGCCTGCGATCTACGGAAGTCAAATCCACCAGTCCACCCGCTCAAAATCCAGCGTATACAGAGGTCAGGTCCTTTAATATTTTCATAATTCGTTTCACATTACTTGTTTGTGAATATATATATATTCACTTTCTTTTCAATTTCTTTAAAGAGTACATCCAGAGAGAAAACTATTATTTGCTCAAATTCACCGAATCTCTAGTAGAAGCTCCCTTAAATGGTTCCTTGATCTCTCTTTTTTTGTTGAATTCCTTGTTGGTTGTGATAATTTTTATGAGATTTTTATGGTATGTTGCCATTCAACTTAGGTAATCTAGGCGCTTGGCCTGGGTTTGGTTGGCTTTAACATCTTGGGATACCGTGACCCTGTCTCGATTAATTGTCCGGAAATTCTGTTATTTCACCATAGCAACCTGGTTATTTACAGTGTTGCTGTTATGATCCAATGACAGTGATGTTAGATCACTTTATGTGGGGTGCCTTGCTGTGATTATTGGCAGACCAGCATTTGCAACTTTTTCACAGTTAAGTTTTGTTAGGATTCTTGTCGCTGACACATGGTTTTTGGCTCACAGATGTCTGGGCAAGACAAGGCCTCGCATAATACTGCTTGTATGGTTTCCATGGGTTTATCGACACCCAGAATTTCAGACTATCCCACGGGTGATGCGGCTGCATTCACTTTGGTCTACTAATGATGCTCAAGCTAGTGCTCATGCCAGTATAGGAATTTCCGATACTCCAGAGCACTATAGAATTTCCGATCAATTTCGTTGAAGAGGATAATAAGCAAATACAAAAACCCAGCACATAGCAGACATGCCAGACCAGCCTGCTGCCTCTGATTTATATTCTACAATTTTCACTATGTTATTCTCATCAGAAAAGCAAAATTCTCAAAATTTCCAATAGCTAGCTCTGTGCAATCTACATTATTGACAAGTTTTAAAAACAAAAAAACCAAAAAAGTCATTGTAAAACTTACGAAGAAAGAGAATGGATGGACCATTCGGCCCTTCCAATTCATAGATGTGGATCTCGGATCTATGAATGTGATGTTCCCTGAGAAAGAAAAGAGAAACGAGTTTAGACAAAAATGAGATATTCTTGGAATTATCGGGTATGTTGTGCTCCCTACATGTTCTATTTCCCAATGGTCCAATAAAAAGATACAGATTGGTGACGTATAAGCTACATTTACATCTCATTTTATGTTTCTGAAAAATGTAAACATGAATTCTACTTCAAGGGAGGGCTATAAATTTGAAATTTCATTTATCTTTCTCTCGTTGACTAAAGGAGTCCACCTCCTAAAAACATATAAAAGTGCATATATATATATATATATATATATATATTTTTTTTTTTTTTTTTTTTTTTTTTTCTTTTGACGAAAAAATGTCAATTAGTCGAGCCCACTGGTGTGGACCAAACAGTAACCTAGGTTAAGCTGAAGCCCACTGCTTGTTCCATCCTGGTCTTGCTTCCCTCGGCTTCTTCTTCTAATTTTGCCCTTCTTTCGTACAAACTAGACAGTGCAATACAACAACTGAACTCAATCAGTCGCAACGCAAGCACTTTCCCACAAGCTAAGCTGATTTTCTTATTTGCTTCTTTTGCTTTCAGTCATAGGTGCTTCTTTTTGTTACTTTTCTTAATCTTTTTGTTTTTTTTTTATTCATTTCATTTCCGGAAATTTCATCTCCTTACACTGTTGGTTGGCACGGAGATTATGAATTCTTGAAATTGTGCCTTTTTTGTTGTAAAATTTAATCTCTCCTTACACTGTCTTAATTCGTTGTACAGTTCTTGTGTTATTCGAATTTCAGATTTATTGCTACTGTCGTTTGGATTTGTTCACACTAAAGGGTAGGGGTTTCTGGAAGGGAGTGTAACAATGAGAAGCCGAGTGTGGCGTAATTTGGTCCGACCAGCAGTGGCTGCCTTTTCCCATCCTTTTCGAATTCTTCGCTCATTCTCAACGGGTTCGTTTGTTGTTTCTGTTAGCAGTGATACTTTCTTCTTCGATGTTGCTTTCTTTATGTTTAATTTAGTTTTACTTTTATATAAATGAAAAAAAAAATGAGCAGAATTGGTGCCTGATTTATCTCCAAAACTTATTAAGATCATGGAGCAAAGGTTGTCGCTTATCGAGCAGAGGAGTGGTTTTCTTCACAATCTCATTAACCAGGTTTACCTATGTCGTTAACTCTGTGTTTGCCGAATTATAGTTAAATGTAGTGTTTGACTTAAGAACAAAAAACAAATTTTGGAATTGAAATGGTGTTGGACCTTTTGCTTGAAGATAGCCTGATGCCTCGGCAGAAGAGTACACGAGGGCGAACAAGGAGCTACGGAAACTCAGCACTTCCATGGACCTTATAAGTCGTCTAAGAGCCACAACCAAGGTACTATCATTAGAACAAAACCTTCAACATAAACTGTTATCCTTGTGCAGACAGAACTAAATCATTTGTTTGCTTCTTTGCTCTGTAGGAGATTAATGGTTTGAGGACTCTCATCGATGAATGTTCTCAAGAAAAAGACATGCTTGATATGGTAACTACCGAATTGGATCAAGCCATCCACGAAGAAAGAAGGCTGCACAATTTGTTGCTCAAGTCCCTGCTTCCTAAGGATGATGCTGATGAGAGGGATTGCATATTAGAGGTCAGAGCAGGTATTAAGCACCTGCCCAACAAATTTTTATTCCATTGCATGTCTTTTATTTTTTTATTTTTTATATGACAAAAGATTTCATTAGGAACTGGTGGGGACGAGGCTTCTTTGTTTGCAATGGACATATTTAAAATGTAAGTTTGTATAATTACTTGTAAGTTCTTGTATGCATTTTCTCTCAAGAGTCTCATCTTGTGCGTATAACAATAACCACAGGTATGATAGATTCTCACACAAGAAGGGCTGGAAGTTTGAAGTGGTGGATATAACTGAGTCTGATCTTAAAGGATATAAGGTGTGATGCCTGATTTTAACTCACGCATTTCAACAGACCCAGATTGAGCTAGATGCTTTAAACACCTTATGTATGCAATGCTACAGTGCTAATCATAACATCTTTCCAGGAAGCTACTGCAGCGATCTCAGGAGCTGATGTTTATGGGAAACTTAAATTTGAGAGTGGGGTTCACAGAGTACAGGTTTGCCTCCCACCTGCTCAATGCAGTACTTACAGTTGCCCCCAAAAATACTGACTATGTTGTTTTGGCAGCGAGTTCCTGTGACAGAGAAGTCTGGACGTATTCACACTAGTGCTGTTTCTGTTGCTATCCTTCCTCAAGCTGATGAGGTTCTACGTGCTAACCTTTTTAGTTGGAAGACTGAATCTAACATTTATCTATCGACATAAGTTTCTTGTATTTACTGTTTGACATCCGGACGTTGTGGTTATTTGTGATTTTGCTTTCAAAATGATATTATTTTTTCTGACCATATGTATATGGGATTGCTGCAGGTAGATGTCCACCTGAGGAACGAAGATTTGAGAATTGACACGTATAGATCTGGTGGTTCAGGTGGTCAACATGCAAATACAACTAACAGTGCTGTTAGAATAACTCATATTCCAACTGGCATGACTGTAGCCATACAAGACGAGCGATCCCAACATATGGTATTACCAAAACCTTTTTCAGCTAAATTATAGTTTTTGTATCCTTGAGCTTAAGATTCTTTTTTCTTTTGTTATTTGGAGTTGATTATTTTCCTAGTACAGTTTTATTAGAAAAATCCAGTGAAATACAATAGGAGCTTTTTCCTGAACTATGTATAAAATTATAAATGTATATCATCTGTTACTATATCATTTTTTCTCCGGCAATAACTTATTCTAAACATTGTTGGTCACTTTAGCAAATTAGACGGAGAATTACAAATTCGTATGTCCTTCTTTTATTCCCTAAACCCTAAAACCCGTAAGCTAACATTCATCGTAGCTGAAACTTGAAAAATTCACAAATTGTTCTCCCAACGTACCCTGCCTTCTCTGAAGCACCCATGCGTAAATGATGTACACAAATATTTATAGGTCAAAGTGGGCATGGGCAACTTTTTTTGTAATCATACTCATTCATTGAATTCTTTTGCAACATCCGTGATGTACAATGTATGATTGTTGACCTCCATTACGTGAGCATTCTGATAACGTACAGGCTAATTATCTTTTTTGGTATTTATTTATTTTTCTTCTTGTAGTTCTTGTTCTTTACTATATTTCTCGTTTCCAATTTTGGGGGTCCTTGTAGAATAAAGCCAAGGCACTTAAGGTGTTGTGTGCAAAGCTTTATGAGATAGAGAGGTCTAGACTTCACGCCAATCGAACAAAACTTCGATCTCAACAGGTATGCATGATATGATGAATTTTAGTTGATACAATTTGGTTTGGCTTTGCTTTCAATATTGATTTATGGTGCTCAACACATTGAACAGATTGGTAGTGGGGATAGATCTGAACGCATCCGCACATACAATTTTCCTCAAGGACGTGTAACGGATCACCGTGTTGGCATCACTCATCATTCGATAAATGATGTGATGCAGGGAGAGAATCTGGATGTATTTATTGATGCCCTTCTTTTGCAAGAAGAAATGGATGCAATTGCATCTTTCAGTTCTTCGCAGTGAAAGTATGATGACTAGCAATAGTATACTGTACCATTCTTTGGTGCTGATATATTAACTGTTCTTGGTGAACAATATCTTACTATGCAGTTAAATCCTAATACTGTATTTTTATACGCAAGTTTTTATATGAACATTCTTGGATTTTTGTATGCAGATAAATCCTAAAACTTCATTTGTTGCTCTAAAAAGTCATGCAGCTCCCCACAGCAGCTCATCATGATTTTGTTTTTACCAAAGTAAAAAGGTCAATAAATTAACAAATTAAAACTGCCCAGGCCACTAGTATTATAGTGTAGTGAAATTTCTCAGTCACTTGAGGCATACTAAGAGGTAACTCACAAAAACTAGGATTTGTTGGGTTCGACTGCCTTAATTACAAATAATATTATCTACACTATGAGGAATGAGATAGGCTTAGTTTCACAACAGGCTAGTAATAATATGGTTCGAATTCGTCTTTAGCGTGAATTAAACCTAAGATCTCTCATTTACAAATGAAGAGAAATACTAGTAGATCATAGTACTAAAAGAAGTCCAAATTCTAGAGGCCATTCGTAGTTGAATCAATTTAATAAGTCTCGAGTCATCCAAAGAGTAAAATAACAAGAAGTCCAATTCTAAAAGAATGCAATGCTTCTCTCGGTAGTGGTGTACTAGTGTCTGCTTTTCTTAGTAGTGGTATATACTTTCAATATATTTGGAAAGTCCAATTCACAAACGATTGCAGCCTACTATGGTGGAAAATCACGAAGAAGTGTTCAAAACACATATTCGCTTTCAACTTAATATTGAATATGAAGTGGGGGATTTTAAAGCCTCATCTGTTATTTATTCATTCACATTAAAGTAAATTGTGTCCTATTACAAAACTTCTTCCTTTCATCTTCTTTGATAGTTGAACAAGTTCTCCAAAAGTTTCTAAAGGATATGTAACCTCTTATTCTCCACACATTGAGGTAGCCTGTGGTGTGAAGATTGAAATGATTGTTACCTAGGACAGCCATCAGAATGACAAATTCCACTCGTAGCTAGCTAGTTCATAACATATAGTTAGATTTTGAGATAAACGGGAACCATATAGAGGAGAAAAGAAAAAAAAACAGAGAAAGAAAGAGAAACTCTTTGACACTGAGTCTTACGCATGAAAATTCAAATGCTTAAATCTTATAAGCTGCTGCTCATTGTGAGCCTAAGATCATCATCAAATTTTTCAACTAAGATCATCATCCAATTACCACATCAAACTAAGAAAGTGGAAAACACTGAAACATCCCTTCCATTTCGTGGTGAGACACACACACACATATATATACCCCTTTGGGGACAATAGATAGTTGTTTACAATTAATATAAAACCCCTGATTAATGAGGTCTCCAATCAACTTTATAATCCCCCTGCAAAGTATGCCAAGGGTCCTACAATAGCGCCATTTATGTAAGTTGCAGGCTCCGAGTGACTGTAATCACTGCGGTCATCTGGGAACCCATCGTTCTGGTTTGGACCTCCAACAACGGCTCCAACTAAGATGTTAGGGTTTGGGTTTAACGAATAAAAGAATGGTTGGAAACCACCATCACAACCTATGGTCTGAGGATGGCTTGCCAATGAAGGCAACGAGGATCCCCTGTGGTGAATTCTCTTGGGATAGTAGGGTCCATACCCTACCATGTAGGACATCTTCAGAGGGTTTACCCCTAATATGTAGTCCACCTAAAAATGTCAATAAAAATCAGCCCCTGTATAAAATGATAAATGATTGAACTTAAAGTAAACACTTAGATCATAATTAACATAATAATTAGTGGTTCAATTTTACAGTTTGACATTGTCACGCAGGATTAAGTGATGTACCTGTTGTTTTGCAAGGTTTCTTAAGGTCTTTGGAGTGACGACGAGGGTACCACAGTTGAATGTGAGCTTTCTGACAGCCATGTACTTGGAATAGGTAGTAAGCAAGAATGTTATTGAGGTCACATATTGGAGGTTACTTCCAGGCAGCTTATATATGAGCCCTCCTATATTTTAAACGAATATACATGGTTAGAACACATTTATTTTACACTACTCTCTCACGGAAAAACAAGGGAAGGAAGAATGCACGAATAACCATTTTAGATTGCTAATAACAATCCTACTATCATTTCCGTATTCTATATTTGAATCCATACTTACTAGATTTTGGCAGCTCAAAAATTGGTTGAAGTGATGAACCACTAGTGAAAACAACTATGTTTACCTTGTGTATATTGAGTACTTGAAGAGGGTGAGTTAGGCAAAATCCGACACATAAATTGCTCCGCTTGTTGTTTATATGGCTCAAAGTTTTTGTCGTTGTTCAATAGTGCCCTCTGAAAAATATATACAGCATTTTGTCAGAATTTATAAATTTATAATTAAAGTAAGAATAATAAAAATTAATTTGAGGCCTTTTGAAAATCATTTTAATTTTGAGTTTTCATCTTTTAGTATTTTGAAAACTGAAAAACATTACCAAATACATTTAACAAATAAATTATTTAGTTTTCAAACAAAGTGAAAACAAATGTTTGAAAACTAAAACGAATCGTTATATACGAAATGGGCCCTTAATAGAACAGTTGTACTGAAATAAGGTGGAAAAAGGTTGATGATGAGTATAGAATTTGTACCCTTGATAATAAAACATAAGCACCAGCAAATTTGTTGTCCCAGCTGAAAATGTCTGTTGAATCACTAGCTCCCAAGGATTTCATAAAATTGTAATAATAAAGTTCATTACTTGCTCTAAAAAGCCATGCAGCTCCCCACAGTAGCTCATCCTGAATTTATTTTTATTTTTTTACCAAATTGGAAAGGTCAATAAATTAACAAATAAAAAATTGACGCAAAATCTAGCAAGGATAAAGAGGATCCGGATTCTATGGTACCAACCTTATATCCAGAATATGAGCAATAAAATGGGCAGACTGCAGATCCAAGTGAATCACTGTATGCCCCTCGGTACTGAATTGCAAACTGCATCACATTCTTGGCCGTGTTCAACAGCAACTTTGAGTATTTCGGATCAACCTTCTGAAAAACTAAAGAAGCAGCCGCTAATGCAGCGGCTGTCTCTCCAGCAACGTCCGAGCCCGGGTTGCTTGGTGAGACTGAGTACACGGTTCTGAGCGTGTCCATGTCTTCTGGCCTCTCCCAACATTTATGGTCCATGTTTGGGTCACCGACCCCAACATAGAGTTTACCGGGCGTTTGCCTAGCACACTTTAGAAGATAATCCGTGGCCCACCGTATCGCTGCCCGGGTTTCTGGTAACTGGGGGCCAATGCGCTTGCCATATTCAAGTGCTCCCCATGACAGCATTGTGGTGGTGAATGCCATTGGGAAGTTGAACTTGACATTGTCTCCAGCGTCATAGTATCCTCCAGTTAAGTCCACCTGCAAAATTGATGCAAATATTTTCATATAGGTCGAAGGTTCATGTTTGTCTCCAATCAAATTTTGTCTACACAATAATATTTGGTACACGAGACAAGTAACTTCTCATTCCAATGAAACGCTCGTGACTTTTTCGTAATTTCATTAGAATTTTAAAAAGATTTGGCTTTTTATTTTGTGTAATAGAATATTATTAATATAACGGTATCGTAAATCAATTACATAATATTACATAGAAAATATAAAACATATAACAGTGCATTGCGTGATTAATTTGAAGTATTACCACAATACACATACTTAATAAATTTACCTTGTACAAACATAGTAGGTAAAAAAGAAAAGGAAAACCAAGGTGCTTGTTTTCATTACATTCACTGTTCCTTTTCTTTTTACATCTTTTTCTTTGTGAAGGAATCATGTGACCTTCCCTACTTTTGAACACGGTTAGAGACTAAATTCAGAAGATTTTATTTGCACTCATATTTTTCTTTCTTTTTGTTCATATGCTTTGCACGTGTCTATCATCTTTGCACATATATAAAGCAAGCAGCAAAACGATCAGTTGGTGATACTCCAAGCATTATCCATTGAAACAATATTTTCGGATTAAAATTTCAAATCACATGTAAGAGCATATATATATGCTTCACACCCCTTTAATATATACATTGTTCTAAAAATTCATGTATAGGCGTTAGTTGGCGGCTAGCCACCTACTTCGATTAATCCTTAGACATTTGAAAATTAAGAAATAGCACATAGATCTACCTAGGCGCCCACTAAGATTGCTTAGGCGTCCACCAAGACCACCTAGGCACCCACTTAGACTACCCAAACCGGTCTAGACGCTCACCTAGGTCGCGACTCCCACTTTGACAGAAAATATATAACTTTCATTTTGCATTATGTTCTAATATTCTATTTTGAAATTTATGTATTCCAATGCAATTAAGTATTTTTTAGGTATAAACAGACGCTTATATATACGATATATAATAAATTTACTTCAATCCACCTAGGCACCGCCTAGCCGTCTAAATGCTAGGCCCTAGCCTAGATAGCCCCATCTTTTAGAACTTGAATATATATAGGGAGTATTTTTGCTTACCATCTTATTTATCACCATTATATGAGTTTGAATTTCGAGATTCATGTAGTGGATAAGCACAAATCTCAAAATTCAAACTCATATAACGGTGATAAATAAGGTGGTGAGCATACACCATACTAAATGATGGTGAGCACATTGCCACTGATCGGATTTCTCACATGTGTGTACCATCACCTTCTCTTTCCCACCCTAACTTATAGAGAGACCACATTACAAATAGTGCAAATAGGTTTGCATGCATGAAGGGTAATGCAATATTCCAGAAATTGACCATCTATAACGAACTAAATTTAAATATAAAAAAATCATATAAATCAAAATACAATGCAGTAATTAAGTATATAGCATATTTACATTTGCCAGACGACCATCGGAAAGCCCAGAATTGAACCTCCATGTGATTTGTTGGGCAGCACCGGCTGGGAGTCTCCCTGACCTTTGTCCCTGAAAGAAGAGTATGGACTTTGCCAGGGCCTCTCTGTAATTAGGGTTGCCTGCAGCTTGGATTTGGACACTACTACTAATACTACTGCCCAATATTACAAAGACGGAGATGAAGAGGGTTAGTGGTAATCTCTTTGCCATTGGAACTTAATTTTTTTTTCCCAAATGTAAAAATTAAGCACACAATGAGTAATGCGATCGATTTTGAGATTAGTTCATGACTTTGTGCCGGTTGAGATGCCTTTAAATAGGAGCGGGAAAGACCAGTCACCATGCCGCAAATTCTGGCCTTTTGTTCTTCCTTCGTTCCCCCTTCTTATTTTTATATATATTATATTGTTATATATGGGATTAAATACAACATTATGTTTACACAGAAGCGTGAGAATTGAATTTAAGCCACACTATGTATAAGTTAAGCATACTAATTTCATTTAAAATTGATCATCCTCAAAATTCGACATTAAGATCTTACTTACAAATAAAAAGATATGCTACTATGCAATAGTGTTAAGTGAAATATGATATTTTGGTTTAGGTTAGTTTGTTTTCCCTTCTCCCTAAGATTTATAAAGAGGAAAAAACCGTAGCTCATTGCAAAGTTACTTATTCAACCTTGATCTTCTTTTCCATGCACCCGCCAAAAAAATCAGGCCCGCCGCCCTATGCACACCAAGATTTATATAGAGTAAATTCCATTACGGTTTTTTATTTTTATTTTTAACAAACGATATTATTTACATAAAAGGGGTTCGAGTGGAGTAAATCTCACAATAAGTTAGCAATAATATGATTCAAATTAATCTTTAACGATAATCGAATCTAAAACCTCTTACTCATTTTAAGTAAGAAGTCCCATGTTTTTTTCACATAAATGATAAGTTCAAAACTTAATTATTTTGGCCAGTCTACTGCATGGTTTAGAACAAATATTCCACCCTTAAATAGAAGATTGTTTATAGAAAACAAAAATTAAGTTATTATTAGTCATTTTATTGGTAGTGTCATGCATAATTTTTTTTTTTAACAAAATTACAAAATTAGTCGACTCCAAATTGAGTGCAACACTACTAAGTCAAACATGTTAAACCATTTGAAATTATTTCTTTTGTTTTGGGTGGTAAACCCACCATTGGCTCATTAAGCATAAAATATGGATTAATAATGCTCCGAATTTTCTGAAGCATAACTAACTACTACTTTCCATCATTAATTGTGATAAATTCACAAGCATCATTATCATGCATTGCATGCATTTGGCCTCAGTTTCTCTTAACCAATGGCCATATATATAGTTTTCTTTTATAATGTTGTCTGAAAAATCGTTAAGCGTATTCGATACATCAGGCAGCATGATTTCTATGAAGAGTAATACATGTATTAAGTATTTTACAGTTAGAGGTTAGGGTTAAATATTATTATCAAGTGTACATGTTTTAGAATTTGAGTGAATCAATCAGATACATATTATGAATGTCACAATGTGTGAATGTAACGAATACGAATACACACAACAATTTCGATCATCAAGTGCAAGCAAAAACCGAATCATTACCTCATGCATTAGTAGTATATTTTTAACACAAGCGGTGTTATTTACACTAAAGAGGTAAAGGAGTTAGTTAAGCCTTATAATGGGTTAACCATAATAATTTGGTTAAAATTTGCATTCGGCAAGAATCAAAGTTAAGACTTCTCACTTACAAACGAAGAAGACTAACCACTAAATTGTAATTTTAAATTACGAGTTATGGTGTTTGGTCAATGCCCGACCATTGTGTACAAATGCCCGGGCGAATGAGAAAGCAGTCCCTGATTTTGGGTCATATTAAGGGATAAGGGTTAGGCAGAGAATCCATAGACAAGCAGAAAAGAGTGCAAAAATAAGGGCCCACTTTATTTAAATTCCCGCATTACAATATTCCATTCCCATAATTCCCATGTGTAATGTATGTTTCCTCTTTTTTGGTTGTCCATTTGATCACTGAAAAGTGGAGGCGCTGATGGCGCCCCTTTCCGTCCGTCGTTCAACCCCGTGGCCGTCGATGGCGCTAAAAAATCGGCTCCGATTACTTTTTCGTAATTAATTCATTTTATAATAACGATTTGAGTTCGGAGATGATAGATTAATGCATGTCATCTCATCCCATGTGTGTTGCTTTTGTTTAAATCTTTATTTTCTCAGATAAAGTTTTTTTCTGTGTGTACCTAGAATGCTTGTGCCGTTGTGTACATTGCACGTGTTATTTATATGCATATATAGGGTAATATTATTCACACACTTATTTTTACGGAGGAGGATTCTCATCCTCTTCCATCCTCTTCTCTCATACATTGTTTTTTATCTTATTATTTCTATAAAAAAAAAAATCAATATAAGATGTTGACATGGCTTAACCGTGACCGTTCAAATAGAAAGGCATGGAAGGGTAAAGAGATTAGGAGGGTAAAGAATCCTCCTCCTATTTTTACGTTTACACATCTCTCTCAATTTTTAGTCATCAGATCGAATGAATTGAAAAAAATAAATAACTAAAAAATTAACAAAACTATGTGTAAATGGATGTGTGAATATCACTTTCCTCTATATATATATATATATATATATATATATATATATATATATATATATGAGTTGGTGGCAAAGTTAACATAAATGAAATTGTAAAACTATGTGACGGCCAATCACCATATCTACTTTCTTTCGTATGCTTTAGGAGTAAGCTAGTTTTATAATGTATTTTACTATTTTTTTCTTTTTAAGACTTTTGGAAAGGTAGTTTGAATAGAAAGGGAGATCGAAGTGGCTTTACTTGTTATTTCACTCAACTTGAAAGCCAATCACCACTTTGAACATTTTCAAGCCTAAATCATGACAAGCCTACTTGACCTCTATCTGTCTTACAAAACTGATTAAGATGAAATTGAGGAGGCTTAGGTGATACGTAGTCTCTCTTGCTTCATACTCCAAAACACTTGTTTTGTTTTTACAAACATACTATGTACTTGAGCTTAGCCAAGTTGAAATCTTTTCCTGTTAATTTCGATTATATTTGAATCTTGCTCAAATAACATAGAAACTAGACATATTGAAGCCGGAATCCGAACTCTAACCCTACAATTGGACTTAGTAAGCATATTAAGCAGATCCACTTGTTGTTGATCATGACAGGTGCATCCATTACTCTTGGTTGATTAATGGTTGGTTACTAGCTAGATTAATCATGCGATTAGTCATGCGTTGGAAGAGTATATTATTATAATCCAATTATCTTATAGCAATTGGTTTATTGAGAAAGCTAGCTGCATGCATCCTGCATTGTGCCGCGAGACCAAAGTGACCAAATTAATATCAAAGCAGGGTTGAGCCATGCATAAATATAGGCTTTCTGGATTGCTAGCTTGATTTGAGGATAAACCAATCCATGATTTTACAAGCATTATATATGATAACTGAAGGATAAAGAACAAAGATAAGATACAGATACAGATACTCCCCCTAAACCCCTAATCCTCTTCGTTCAGTAGTCCAATTTACGTCTTTTTCATGCATTGCATTCTGCTTAACTATACATGAAATTCCTTAGAAAATAAAATAAAATTAATAATGCTTCAAGTTTAGGAATTACTTCTAGTCGGCGGCGGCGGCAATCCATGCATTGCAGTCGTGCTATTTAGTTCTCTAATATTCCAATTTTCTGGCCAAGAGTTCCAAAAATATTCCGTGCAATTCAAGTCCGAAACTGAAATTTCAAACTTCAAAATTGGAATTAGAATGTATTTGAATTTTCCCAAAATTTAAAACTTGGCTAATTCTATTACACCCTTCTATTCCATACACTTAATGATGTACCTACTAAATTAATTGCGGATATGTTTTTATTATTATTTGTTATACAATGTACTCAAATATGATTCTATATTCTTAATTACAACTCTCTTCAATTCAATGTATAACATGCCAAATGCAAAAGTGAGGTGCACTTACTATCTCTTGAGCTCCATTACATGTCTATATGTGCATGTTCATGCAAATAATTGGCTTAACTACTAGCTATGTTAGGTTCGTAAAATACACCACCACACAAGTGTTTACGTGATTCACTTAAATGTGGATACTTGTACTATTCTTCTTTTTTAAAGTGTAATATTAAAAGAATTTTGTTTGTTAATCTGAAATTGCTTATTGAAAAGAAATTTAAAAAAATAGACAACGAAATAACAATGTAATAGAGCTTGAGCACGACTTATTTATTTGTGTCATGCTCGTGTCAATATGGCCGTTGCTTATACATGTTAATGTTACGTTTGGTTGTACTTGTCTTAATTATTTCCCAATCGGTTCTTTCATGTTCGTTCACTTTGATAAGATTGACAATAAAGAGGGAGTTTCCATGATGAAGACAAAATCAAAAAAAGACTTGGTGTATTAAAATTCATAGTAGCATACAACTATTCCATTGGGTCAAGTTTTCATTGTGGTGGATTTGGTTCGGCAGATTTTGGGTGAAGGGAAGAGAGTTTTACAATGTGGGAACGAGATTATTCTATCCAGCCAGTACCGCTGTTCGACAAGCAATAAAATGAGCCCATGACCATTTAGTCTCGCCACAACCAGCCTTCACGTAGTTGGGGGTAAATTCTGAGTTCAAATCTTACCGACAAAAATAATATACCACATCACCATTCAAAGCAAGTAAAATAGAACGCGGCAGCACACACAAAACTAGAATGTACAATTGCCGATTGGCAGGCAGCTCTACTTTCATGTCTTTACCATCTTACAAACTCCCACCTCCGGTAAAGCACCTCAGTCTTTACTACCATGCCCACAATAAAACCACTCTCAATCTCTCACCTAAGACAATCCGTCCCAAATTATTATATTATTTTCTCCCCTAGTGCGTAAAGTGACGATATTGTCCTCATTGGCTTAGTGATGTGGATGCACCTTAGTAGTTTTAAATTATTTTCTTGCCATCGTAATTAAATCATACTCGACGTCACGAGCGTGTCAACGTGAGTTAGGCCCGAATCAGATTCGTAATGAAAACGATTAATTGAATATATAAACGAGTAAATCACGAACCAATTATATTGGCTCCCATTACCTCTAAACCAATCAAATTTTGGGCTTTTATCTTTCTTTGGGCCAATTGAAACTCTATCTCTCTCACGGCAACCCAATCAGAAAATATTATTTTCTGATTCTGGCCAATCACACACACACACACACACACACACACACACACACACACACACACTCACACTCACATACACATAGACTCTCTCTCATTCTCGACTCTTCTCATTTCTTCTTCCTTCTGCACCCAAGACACCTCACACGCACAAACCACACCAAAACAGTATGGATCGAACCTACGAAAACTACCATCACACTCCTCACAAACTCACAAACCTAGCCATACCCTTAGGTTTCAGTTTTTGTGAGTTTTGACCGTCGACTCACGAGCTCCGACGAGGAGCCAAGTTGTTCCGACGCGATCCTGAACGTGGTTTCAAGGTTTTAAGGCTTGGAAAGGTATCCACGCAACTTCCCTAACACTTTGGAGTAGTTTTGGAGTGAAGCGGACGTCGATATAGGCGAGTTTGGAAAGTTGCAAAATTGGCCAGATTTTCCAATGAATTTTCTGACCATTTTTCGTAGGATTTTGAACTCCTAATAGGTACGAATGTGTTCTACTCTTCAAGACCTTCAAATCCATATAAATTCATGGATTTGATTGAGAAATGAAGTAGATATTAAGCTTTGAAAATTTTCCAGAAATCGACGAACCAAATGACGGAGACCGACATGATCCACTGGAGAAAAAGAAGAATATTAAGTCAAAGTTGACGGAATATTCTAACGACGTCAAGTAACACCATTAGAATAATGGAATATTCTGCTATTTTAACGGAATATTCCCAACGCCGTTAGGGTTTCCGTCCCATGTGTTAGGCACGTGCCTATGCATGGCCGACGCATGTGGACCGTGACTTGGCCAATGAGTGAGGGTGCGTTTGACATCCAAAATTTTTCTAAAAATATGGGGGTGTTCGTGTTGTCGAGTAGATCACGTTGGTATATTCAAACACCCCATTTGAGCAACATATGAGGAATTAATCCTAGGCTTTGTTTATGTGCTAATTAATTAACGAAAAAATAGTTGTATCGCATATAGGTGAGACGTACCTCAAGGACGGGCGTGGACAAGCAAAGCTAGGGGTCTACTATCCTGCTACTTATTAGTGAGTGGGCATTTGTTTTGTATATATATTTATATACAGTTTTCAGAAACATTTTTATATGGAACTATGCTTTGCTTGCCATGTCGTAAATAAGTTACATCTTAAATATTGCATTGATACACTTGTGAATTGTATTGTGTGATGCTGCGGAGACTCAGGTAAGCTTTAGATGAGTATTATATGATTGAATGGGTTGTATTGCATTGGTATGCACACACTTATTTAGAGCTCATCATGGTTGTACCTCGGTATTAGTGCTCCTACCTGGGGCTAAGGCCAGCTTTCATGTGATTGTTCACCTCCCGCATCGCACAGCTCACCTTGGATTCAAGTTTGGTGCCAGCCTATCGTACAGACCACATAGGTGGTTTCAACTCGTAGGTGACCTGCGAATTATCGCACAGCTTTCACGTGATCGTAGCACTTAAGCGTACATATTTATATCCAGCCTGTCGTACAGGTCACACTAGGTGACTCCGACTCAGTGTGCTAGCCTAGATTGATGAGCTAAAGGTCCAATCGTACAGGTCACGTTAGGTGACTCTGACTGGTATATTATTTTATATTGGTTTCACACCTAACTTGCATTTATTATTGCTGAGATATTATGACATGGCATACTTCACTTTTCGCCGCTGTTGTGCATTGGTTTTCATACCTACCTAGTAGTATTTTTTTGAAACTATACGAGTTTTACGGAGAGGTGTTATTATGTTCATAAAGATAAATACGTTTTCAAACGCTTTGTTTTTGCCCACTCACCTTCTGTTTTGCGCCCCTCCAAGTTCTAGGTAGCTGTTCATCCTTGGTGGCTTACAAAGACTACACGGCGGTTCTAACATTCTACTAAATAAAAGTAGGGATCTTCTCCCTGTTTGTATAATTAGTACTTAGTTAGTTCGACTGCACTTTCGTTTTACCTATGCTCTGATATGCATGTATCTTATACTTGATCTCTTTCACACTCTTACATATTATCTCTAGTTAAATAAGTTTAGCTTTGGTTTTTTCTATTTATTCGCATTTTCTTATTATTATCACTTATGTTGCGCCCTTGACTACGTCACCCTCACGTGACGGCCAGCACGTCTCGACTTCGGTTAGGGTGTGTCATCACTCGTATAACAATTTCATACAGCATAACGAAAAAAAAAAAAAAAAAAAAAAAAAAGTAGAAAAGTGAATACGCACTTGGCGATGAGTCAGAGACTACAAAACCAAATCGAAGTAGCAAAAATTGTTCGGTACATATTCCTTCCAATAGCATTCGGCCACCCTGAGTCTCTTTTATTGATTTCAAACCCAGTCTTTGAGGCTGGGCCTGCAACGAAGATTACACTTATCCAGAAGAATTGAACCCAAGAAGCTTTCAAATTACAATGCAAAATTTGGTGCCAAATCACAACAAAATACAAACTAAGCACAAAAAAGACCGATACATAACAAACCTTGATATCCCCGAGAGCTGCTGCTGTCAGTCACCCATGCTCGAAATATGACAGTAGGATCCCAAAATCATTTACAAAATCAGTTTCTCCACACAGCAAGGCAGGCCTACTCTACATGGGCCATTCCCAAATCTTTTGTTGTACCGTTTTTACATCCAACGTTATGAAGGTTAAAACCATGTATTAAGCTTATAGCAGATCCAAAAGGGGTGGCTGTTCAGTTGCCGATTTCGCATGGCTGGAGCGTGACACCGAACTAGCACCCTTCCCTCTGCCTCTTCCTCGACCTACAGCAGTTGATGGGGGAGGAGCAAGTCTAGGTGCTGTCTGCGCATTATTTCCAGAAGCAAATATGGACCCAAGATCAGCTGATCTTTTATCTGTGTAAGCATTTGAAGCTGATATCGGTTGATTCTGTTTCATAAATCCAATAGAACTAGGGGGGTTGAAACCTGAGCTACCCAAACCACCAGTAATCGAAGTTGCATTGCCTTGACCATGTCCTATTTGCTCAACAGACCCTCCGGTAACAAAGGCCCAACTATCATTGCTATTGCTGTAGAGGTTCATACCGTTTGATCCACCGGACAGTTTGTTTCTGGGAGGCTCTATCGTACCATTGTTGGAAGGGCCCATTCCACTTACTTGGCCACTAGGCCGTGGGGGCCAGTTAGCAAAAGGATCAACGTCATCAAAACTGGAACTGGATGATGCTCCTGCATTTAATTGCTTCTCAGTATCAGCAACTGAGGTAACTCCAGAAGACGCCCTAGGAGGCCACTCTATATCAACTGGGGGACATGATGTGGGTGTTTGCTGACTAGATACTGCAGTTCGCGACAAGGAATTTGGCTGTGAAGAAGTTACTTGAATTGGTTCATTACCCGGAGTGGGATAAGTGGAGGTAATGGAATTTGTAGAAATTTGGAGGGAATTGGAGGGCTGCTTTTTTATAGGACCCCAATCTTCATCCCATGCTGGACTGCTGTTTGCAGCGGTGGCGACATTTCCACTTATTTTGCTTGGGACTTGGGAGTGGAGTCCATTGGCAGATGGAGATGGTTTTACCTCTGGAATTCCAGAATCCGTCACAGTAACTCCCCGTTTTTCCTCTATCTTCCTGCCACAAAACCAATAGGTCCAATACAGAAAAGGAGACTTAATATCAGTAAAACTAAATGCAAGAAAGAATTATATAATACTGAAACTGATAAGAATGCATGTAAGCATGCAGACATTACTTGGGTGAAACTCAAAACATTCAATTATCACCTCAGAATAGCCTTGACAAAGAGCATATATTTGGCAAACTGCTGAACATTTAATTGCTGGGCAGTAAGAAGAGGTATGAGCAGCGGGAGGACATGCTCTGCAACAAATTCTACCCCATGCTGAAAATCATGAAGCAAAGACAATGATTATATCTTGTAGCTTTGTAATATATTTATAATATATAACGATATTAGGGTAAAATGCTACAGAAGACAGATAAAGCAACCACAGAACCAGATTCATTATTGGAAACGGTTACCTGCTTAAGAATTGAGTTTGACACCCAAAGAGTACACATAAGGGTAGGAGCAGAGCAGTCAACTGCTGTACAACGCTGAATTGTTTGCAGAATATCCAAAATAGCATGCTTATCGAGTGTAGGAATCAAATCTCCTAGACAATGCAAAGCATTGACTCTCACCTGCCAAAACAAGCACATTTGAAATTCATGTTCAATTGTTACATTAAGATTAAACCATAACAAAACAATATAAAATTCACCCAAGTCAAGTTCAAGAGCCACCTCGAACTGGCAGTCTCATGGAATTAAAAGCTACAGTTGAACCCACAGTACCAAGAAAAAAAAAGGGTAACAACCAGTTCATTCATCTTCAACTGTCATACAATTGGCCGTCAATTCAGAAAAACTAAAGAAAACTGTATTTTGGGACTTTAACTTCTTATGAGTTCATTGCCACCAGCATTACATTGTCCTAAGAAAATACACAAAGAAACCGACTCAGGCAGAAGATTCACGAGGTGAATCATAGGATGAATCCCACTGTATTAATTTTCACTCTGTTAAATAATGAATGGCAGTTTAAAAAGTTAATTTCCTCAGAAGTAGAAACAAGGGCAAACCCATTACAATCAAATGGTTTAATAATCAGTGGAATTAGAAAACAGTATATACTGTGCAAATTCAACCAAAGAAACAACATGCTTCAATAGCAATTTGGGAGATAATAATCACTCGATCAAGTCATTTTCCGCATTCAGGATCAGTAATGCAAAGTGGACGTATGAGGAAGCAACATACAGCTAGCACAGGATGCACAAAACTCGGACAGGTTTCTGGTACATTAGGTGATAAAAATGTGTGATTTAAAGTTCCATCTACTATGATTAGGTCAATAACTCTTGGTAAAATAGAGTGCTAAGTACTATCAACTAGTTTTCACAACAGAAATAAAATATAATAGAAGTGACAGGCCAAAGACAATTGAAAGTCAATCTATTAGGACTGGCAGGGACACTTCGTTGGTATTAAGTTATTTAACATATTACAATGTTGACCACTAGATACACCTATAACCAAAGGAAATATCAGTTAAATTCAAGATAAGAAACCAAGAGGCTGACCAAAAAAAGGTGGTGCCAGAAATATTATTATAGGGGATCATACCCTTAAATAATTAGTTTGATTCCAAATTCATAATACGAATGAATGAACCAAATCATGCTCAATATAAGTTATAACATCAAAATCTGTTGCCTTTTAAGTTACAACAAATTATTTCTTTCTTTCTTTCTTTCTTTCTTTCTTTTAATCATTTTTATGTATAACCCACAGAAAGAAAATCAAAATTCAGTATTTTAAATTTTCACTAATGGCAAGAACAGACTGATATCATTTAAGGTGAATGCATAATGAGAATGTTCTTAAATTAAACTTAAGAAACAAAGAAAGCCAATAAAAGAATAAATACATACCGCGGCAACAGTTGTCTTAAGAGCTAAGCCGTGAACACGAGGCAGAATAGCTTGTTTCACTAGCTGCAAATAATGAAAATATAAGACAACAAATACTAGTAGCTCTCCCATAAAATGTTGATTCACAAGAAAGATAATAAAACTAAAATATAGCTAAGTTGTTTATCTTCATCCATGTGCTAAACAATTTTTGTATTACAGAAAAAGAAAAAAAAAAAAAAAAAGGCCAATGGTATAATCCACAACTGTAACACATCTTCAAAAGTGTCCATCACTGAGAGAGAGAGAGAGAGAGAGAGAGAGAGTGAGAGAGTGTGTGTATGTGAACATTTAGAAGAAAGACACTAAAACTAAAATATAGCTTTTGTTTATCTTCATCCATGTGCTAAACACATTTTTGTATTACGGGAAGAAAAAGAAAAAAAAAAAAAAAAAAAAAAAAAGCCAATAGATAACCCACAACCGTAACACATCTTCAAAAGTAGTATTTCAAATGTTTTCATTGCTGTGTGTGTGTGCGTGTGCTTCCAAAGAATGTAAATGCATACTCACCTGAACATCAATCTTTTTAGCAAGGAAAGGAGACTTCCTCAAAACCTCCTCCTGTATGCGAGCATCGCCATCACCATATGCTCGAACAATCATGGGCAGGACATGTGATATCAAGTGATCTTGCATAGTCTAAAAATAAATACATAACAGGTTAAGTGTTTAACTCAATAATGGGGAAAGTATCTACTAGCAACATAGTAATCCACTGGGAGTAAGCACCCCTTCCAGGCACTGAACAGACACAGCACACAAAGTGTGCAGGGATTGAACCGAATAATGCAATAATATCTTAAAATACCAAATAAGAGAATCAGAAAAGTTTTTTCACTTACCTTGCTGATAATAAGTTCTGCATGCTTCAAAAGCAACAATAATGTGTCACCCACAGCAGTGCTCAGGACAGGAACAAGGGCTGGCAATGTTGATAACTCAAAGTCATTCGTATCCTACATTATGTTTTAAGACATAAACTTAGTCAATCTAGTTATAAAACGTAAAGCATTCACTGTCACTTGATGATGTCCATAAACTCTACCATATGTGTGTGCGCGCGCGCGTGTCTAAGAGAGAGAGAGAGAGTACAAGTTTTAAGACATTATTATAGAAAGTTTAGGCTTAGAGCTTGATGTCTCAACAATCGTGCATGTTTTCAAAAATTAAGTATCATGGCAGTTTTTAAGAGATCATCACATAATTGTTTTCTTGCATCTTTCAAAATTTCACATATACTTTTGAGTGATTCTCCATGAACTCCTTATTTTCTCAGTTAAACCCTCCACGGCTAGCTGACAACAATTTTCTTTTAACAAGAAAACAATATTTTCTTGAAAAAAATGATATGCATCCTATGGACAAGGATACACTTACAGCAACAAAAATAAAAATTCCCAAACTGCCTAAACTACCCCAAAAATTAAAAAACTCACGCATCCATCATTGCTACCATCTTTTTTATTGGAACTATAATACAATTTAATCAAGGTTATAAAAGGCGTTAGGCACTAGTCGGGTGGCGGATAGGGGCCTAGCGTCTAGGCGCCTAAGCAGTTTTTTTAATTTTAAGACATAGAGATTATAAAGTATTAGAACATACTGAAAACATCGGGAACAACCTAGGCAGGTCTAGGCACCCTTCTTAATTTTCAAACGCATAGGGATTAATTGGGACGGTGGCCAGCCGTCTAGTGCCTAGGCGGGGATTTTTAGAACAGTGAATCTGATACATCATAACAAGCCTTGCATGATTAGTTTACAAAAAATCACAATCCTTTACAAAGCTTTTTTTGTAGGTACAACAATGGCTCATTTCCAATCACAAGGCCAAAGCAATTAGTACCTGAGACTCTGCAATCGTGAGAACCATGGGCAGAATCATTGGTTGCATAACCAAATTCCTAAGTTCTGCACAAAGCGGCGGCAGTACCTAGAAAGACATAATAGAGACCATGTTCAATAGATAATATATCCTTAGCAGTTGGCTGAACAAAACTATGAAATGCAATATAGTGAAACACAAATTACCAATAGGCATAACCAGATACCTGAGGGGTTCTTTTTTTCTCAAACCAAAAACAAAAATCATGATGTGGGTTTCATTTCAATAATCAGGTGGTCCTTTCATTATTCTTTGTTTCCAAAATTCAAACATATACTCAAAACATAAATACTGTAAAAATAAATGACACATCACTTGATCAGACAAGAAAGAAACCTTATATCGCAATACACGAGAATCGAAATCTTTCCACATATCAGATAATGCTTTCAGGAATTCAGACTTCTGCATGTTATCTCTTTCCTGCAAATTAAAAAAAAAATGATTTATGACCAATTCTTTTTTGTCAAGCCGTTTTTCTTCTTTTAAGACATTAATCTAGGGTAACATTATCCCAGAAGTATGCACTGATTACGCTGAAATGCAAATGCATACAAGCATGTGGTCGAGAAAGCGAAGAGCACGCAACCTAGTGTCATCCCGAAAAAATGGAGAACCTGCATGTAAATATTATAAACAAACGCGAGTATGAGACAAAGAGCAGTCAAATATTATAAACAAACGCGAGTATGAGACAAAGAGCAGTCAAAGTACACTTAAACATGTAACATAACAATAATAACGAGGCCAAATGTGTATGCACTTTATACTGCTGAGATTAAACCAAAAATATCTGCATGACAAAACGAATTCTAGCAATAATACTACATTACTTTTGGCTTCCACGGAGAATTGAGAGTGATTTTCATGTATCAGAACAGGAACATCCCTAACTCATGCGTTCTATTTTTAACAATGATGGTGGGCTTAGAGATTTGATTATTATTTACTTTTAATCAAAAGAACCAGGAAATTCAGTTACTAGGTTTAATTATTTCTAAGTATTTATTAATCTTGAAATTGCCTATACTATATTATTAATAGGTTCCTAGTAACCATACTTGATTTTAACATGATTTACCTCTCCTTAACCTTCTCTGTCTCTTTACACATATCATCCTTGTTCTCTTTGTCTCCTATTCTACATCGGAAGCAGAGAAATGTTTTCCTACATTCAGTGGCAAAGCTCCAATACAGTTAGGTTTAATGATTTACCTGTAAAATCCATTGCTGTTGGCCTGAAAGCCTCATTCGTAGAAAGCATCCTTTGCAAGTCAGGAACTAACTCTGGAGGAACAGGGGAAAAGGCTTCATTGGATAAGTAGCTTAAGGTATTCATATACTGCAAAAGAAAAACTTCAGTATTAACAATATCACCAATATTAGCATTAACAATATCACCAATACACAACCATAGATCAACCATGAGGAGCACTCAATGAAAATGGAGAAAAGTATTAAAGACTAGTACACATATCCTACTTCATTCCATGACCTATTTTAGTGTGCATGTGGGGGAAGTAGCAGCGAAAAGTTGGAGATGATCCTTGTTAAAGGAGATGTAGAAAAAGGAATAAATATAGCAATAATTCGATTCTTCGTCGCTGTAGTAAATAGGCGAGAAAAAGCATATCATACAAGCTCTTTTTGTGTTTTCTGTACATGAACAAGCTATCAATTAAACACTTGCATCTGTATGAAATAAGTGAAGAATTTAAAGGAAAACTACCATCTTGACATTGTTGTGGCAGTCGAGCAAAGGCTTGTGAGCAATCAAGTGGTAGGCAAGACAACCAAAACTGAAAATATCAGAAGAACATCCAGCTGAGGATGCTTTACTCCTAGCAAGTTCAGGAGCAGTGTAATTCAGTGATGGCTGAAGGGGCAGCACAGAGTCCTCAACATCATATTCCTGTGCAACCCATATCAAATCAATTAATGACTGGTACACATTGCTCATGGGGAACTCTCATTGAATCTAGACAAGATTTAAATAAATAAACCTAAAAAATTACGGTCAACATTTTAACCAGGAAGCATCATACTGCTCATAAAAAAACTGCCAGACTCTTGGCTGTTTGAAAAGAAATCCGGTGTGCAAGTATAGATCATTCAAAGTTGTTGCAAATGCAACTGCATAGATGGAAAACAATTGGATAAAGCAAGGAAGAAAATGAAGACATTCATAAATTCATGAATGTTAAGAGATCAAGATCAAAAAAACAAATGTGTGCTAATAATGTTCCGCAGGACAGAAAGCACACATTTTCATAATTGTAAAAATATGCAGGTGAAGTAAAACTTTTTGTGTAATAAGCTTATAACAGAAGCTTGACTCACAGCATAATGGAATGCCTGAACATTAGCCATATTTCCTGAGGCTTGATCTGTTGAGATTGCAAAACCAAATCCACCAAGCTTCCAAGCTCCACTTGCTGTAATAAAGACATTCTGCAGCAATATGGTTTCACATTCAATTGACATATTCAATATGCATTCAACCTCTAATTTGGAGGACAAGTATGATAATTAATTGGCAAGAAACACATTTATTAGACTCAGTGAGGGACTGACACATAAAGATCAGGCAATAAAATGAAATGAAGTTTTTCCTTAGTAATTATTGTTGTACTTTTATGTGCAAAGGGAAGCAAATTCTAATAAAGTATCATACGTCAACTTTGTAGGCGAAAGCGAAGAAACAAACAATCTAAAAATAAGAATACAAGAGATTGAACATGGTTCGGCATAAAGCCTATGTCCACGGGCAAAGCATGGCGAGCAATTTCACTATACAACCAGAGATTACAAAAGAGTGTTTAAACTCTCACAACCCAAAACCCACAAATTACAAACCCTAAACCAGTAGAGAACACAAAACTAACGGAGAAGATTCTCCTAAATTGTTCTCTAACTCACAAACTCACAAATTGACTCTCACCAAATTGTCACACGAATGAGCCACACAAAATAAACTAGCCCTATTGTCCTATTTATAGAGCATAGGGCTTAGGTTTACATAGAATCCTAATAGGGAGTAAATCCAAACCCTAATCAAATAGGTAATTATACTCATTAACAAAAACTCTCCACCAAATAAGGAATCCAACCAAGAATTCAAATCCAACCAAATAGTACACCAAACGAAATAGGTAATACAAACCTAATTTCTGCATCATCCTAATGTTGAGACGCAAAACCCAACAATTATACCTTCACGCTACAGAGGACAACAAGGAAAATTATTCTGCTAGACATTCTAGCCTCAAGATAAACAAGAGATAAAATATCTACAAAGAGTTTAAATTTTGACAAATTTCACTTCTACATATTTGAAATATTGTGAAAACAGACAAAGAAGAAGTTGTAACCTCAGGTGATATGGCCCGATGAATGAGACGCGCATTGTTATGAAGAAAGTCTAAGGATTCTGCTATCTGGAGCAAACCATGCTTCACCTCCAATATACCCATTTCCTGCAAAGCAAAAATCCTTTTGAGCAAGCTATGATATCACAGGATGATTCAGAATATAGCACATGACAGATAGGAGATTGACTAAAGAAAATGCACTTTCTGTAGAATAATATTTTCCAGAACATTCTGCCCTTGGAGAGAGAAAATATCCAGCCCATTAAAAATTTACAAACTAGATCAATTTAATGTAGATAAAAAAATTACTTCACCAATATTTGTTTTACTCATTTCAATATAACCATCCCAATAGTATTGAGGTTGCTCATAGGGTTTTGAATTTCCTCAGTAAAAAATAAGTATGACATGCATATTGAACATTCATGTGCAGAAAACTTGTTTATCAAGTTAGATAGTTCATATTTGAGAGTAATGAGTTCTACAGAAGACAAAAAAATAATGCTGAAGAAGAAATAGAAGCTTAAGAGTCAAATAGCTTGGTCTATCCAATACAAGCAAACCGCCAAAAGCACTGACCTCCATCTTGAAACTTTTATTATTTTAGAAGAAGGATAGAATTTTATTAAAACAATAGAAGGAATTACAACAACTGGATAAGAAATCCACCAACTAGCAAAAATAGCAAAGACCTCTCAAGTATGACTACTTTACAAGTAACTAAAGCTGAACCAAATTCATTTAACCGCTAAAACAGCCATCACTGTATAAGAAAGAGAATAATCCCTGAACTCAGTCGAAACTGATGCCTAGAGGGCTGCTAAAGGAAACAAATGACAGATGTATTCCATGATTTCTGATAAGTGGGCATATATCTAGACGCAAGAAGGAGCACATAATATTCGGAATACGAACAACTTGCTTGTTCTACAGAGCATCCGCTTATTAACACTAATAAAATGTATCATTCTCAAAATCACACAACTAAATTCGAATTCAAGTCGGTTACTTTATTAGTGATCCACATAAAAGAAACTGAATCCGACCAAGCATTTGACTGATTTAAACTACATTCCAATATTCACAAGGTCCATACGAATCCAATCCAAACATGCATTCACTAAATTACCGAAATTACACTATCGAAACTTGAAACCAGCATAAAAGGAAACAATTGAAGCCCACCAGAGCCTACCTACCATTCCTTTAAGCTCCTTGGGCACCTTAGCCACATTCTTCACATTCCCAAGTGCATTTGCCACAGACGCAAACAACGGCTCCGTCACCATTGCCATGGCATTCTTGTTCTCATCCAGAGCCTGCACCACGTGCACCACCCCGGGGTGCCTCAGCCTCACCAGCCTCGCCGCATCAGCTCGAATGATCTCCAAAAACCCATCTTCCGCCGCCTTGGCCAATCCGGCGCGCATGCGCGCCTCCGACAGAGCCTTCTTATCCAAAACCCAGACGCAGACGTTGGGGTACTGGTGCGCGCGCGTAGACTCACGAGCCGCCTTGGCAGAATAGAGCTTCCAGACCAGGCCCGGTCCGGCGGACCCGATCTGGTCGAAGAGCTCGTAGTCCTGAAGAGGCTTGGGTCCGGCGACCTCCTGGACCGTGGTCTGTACGGTCTTTTCGATGACCGCAGCTGTCTTGGCGAGGGCTTGGGTTAGGGTTTTCATATTGAGAGACATCTGGGAAGAATGGAGGAATTGCAATGTGTACGATGGAAAATAAATCAATATAAAAGTAGTGTTGGTATAGGTGTATGTAATCTGCAGGAATTGGGAAGGAATTCTAGGGTTTTGGGTTGACGACGACGGAGGAGAAGGTGGAGGGAATTTGGAAGTTTTCCTCAGATCATCTGCTTTCCAGTTTCCACCTCCCTCTCTCTCTTCGTGGTTCCTTTCTTTTTTTTCCTTTAATTTTTTTAATTTTAAAAAATGATTTTTCAAATGTTTCGGGACAAGTTCTCTCTCCGGGCACGGGTCGTTTGTTGCTGTTTTCAGTTGGCCTCCGTTGGGTTTAATTAATTAAATTTTAATTTGTTTCTGATTATTTAGGTGAGATGATTGAGTCACACGTGGGTGGGTTGGGCCTTATATGGCAAGTTAAGTGTAAATTTGGATCAATGATATATGAGCCCTTGGACACTTTTTAAGTAGGGGTACACAAAATTTTAAGTAGGCCCATATACACGATGTTTCGCAGATTTTTTTTATCTTTCCACTACTTAGTTAATTTTTTTTGTTTTTTCTATTGTTTCAATTCATTCAATCGGACTAGGTAGGTAACCAGTGGTTTACCATCCATTATTCTCCTTTTTAAGAAGAAAAAAAAAATCATTCAATCAGACGGTCAAAAAAAAAAATGTATGTGTGAAGCAGCACCCATAAACAAATATTCTTTTTTCTCTTTTTAAAAGGGGAAACAACTGGTAGCAAGTCATGATTATCCACCTCTTCCAAGGGTAAGAGAAGGCTCACAAAAGCATTTTAGCCTCCCTAGCCATAAGTCTGGCTTTCACAACAGTAACAGGTTTCGAACCCAAAGCCTCCAGTTTTTATTTTGAAGGAAGCCTCGCAATCCGTTCTTACCACTGGGTTACCAGCTCATGGTTCCGTAAACAAATGTAGGTTTGATTACATTGTTCACCCTTCAGGTTTGGCATTATTTTCAAAATGAGGCATGAAGTTCTAATTTTCTCACATTACACCCTTGAGGTTTTGAAATTGTTTCATTTACATCTTTTATCTTTTTGAATATCTAACCCTCTCTTGAATTGATGAATTGTTTTTGTGAATATAGTGTAAATGTGGCTTCAATGTTAGCTCAAGGAAATGATATTGCCCATCGTTTGGCTAAATAATGTGTTGTCTATTGTTCATCATCGTGTACATGGTTAGAGGATTGTTGATTTGTTGTAGGAAGATGAAGAGAGTCTAAACCAGAAGCCTCAACTCTCTCTCTCTCTCTCTCTCTCTCTCCATTGTGATGCACTAGCATTAACAATGTGATGAACTAGTGCATCGCACCGACCAAATTCAAAACGTAACTTATAAAATACAAATTTGAAATAAACGTTCAACCACTGAACCACCAGCTGAAGGTTTGAATCCTAACTTTATTGGTATGTAAATTTTTGTCAGCCACAAGTTGGGTATTCTAGAAGAGGTGTTTAGTTAGAAGCAAGTAGCCACATATTATGGATCTAGATCCAACCGACATATAGATGTAAGCCGATAAGCTTGACCATTTTTTCTTCTTTTTTGACAAGCTTGACCATTTGATTAACTCCATCTTAATCGCGTCTCTTAACCTTTTAGAATTGCAGATAATACCATAAGATTATGTTCATGCTTGATGTGAGAGAGCAACTTATATAGAATGAGTTTACAGTCATGTGATTTTTTTGTTCATTAACACATCATTATGTGAAGAAAAATTTACACATAACAATGTATTATTGAAAAAACAAATATCATGCAACAATAAACTGATTACATATCAATCATTTTCCTAATTTGGGAGAAGAAGTTAGACTACTTTAATGGGAAGAGAATTTGAGTAAAAAAAGATTATTTGATTTTAAATTCACTTTTCCATTTTTCAATGTATCTAACTTTTTGGATAGACATCTTGGGACATGAAAGTCCACTAATACAACAAAACGTAACGTGATGTAAGTTGTAGGAATTAGTTTCACTTTCACATACAAAAATTGTTATTAGCATTCCAAAAATTTTATTTGATATTCCAAATTTTCTATCATTAAAAAACAATACACTTGTAATAAGTAATAAGTGTAGAATAAAATTTTTAAAATGATAATAACAGTTTCCACGCATAACATAGGCTCTCTTACTTTGCACTCTGGGGCACGTGTATAAATCACATAACTCAGAAAAGTGCTAAATTTGGTCAAATCCAGCAGAATCAAAGTCAAACTTGTCTCATGTCTTATGTCCTATAAAAATCTCTTTGCCTTTACTTCACTCCCCAAACTTTCCATTTTTGCCATATTCGGCTGTCTCAGAAACAATAATATTGAGCATGAAGAACCTCCCCTTCCTCTTCCTTGCTATCCTCACATTCCGTTGCATGAACCCCGTTTCCGCAGCCTGCCACCTCGACGACGAAGCCGGTCTGCTTGCCTTCAAATCGGCCATCACAGCCGACCCATCTAACAAGCTAAGCTCATGGATAAAGGGTACAGACTGCTGCACATGGGCGGGTACAAACTGCCTCAACAACCGGGTCACCAGCCTCTCCCTCTCGGGTCAACCCGACAAGCCCACTACTTACTTATCCGGTAAAATCTCGCCCTCCCTCTCCAAACTCAAATTCTTGAACGGCATCTATCTCCAAAACCTTAACCTGTCGGGTCCCTTCCCGGATCTCCTATTCGGACTACCCGACCTCAAATACGTCTACATTGAACACAACAAGCTCTCGGGTCGAATACCCAACACCATCGGCAACTTAACCCAACTCGAAGCACTCAGCTTTTACTACAACCGGTTCACCGGTCCAATTCCGAGTTCAATCTCCAAGCTGACCCGGCTCACCCAGCTCAACCTTGGCGGCAACATCTTAACCGGTTCGATCCCGTCCGGCATTCAAAACCTCAAGAACCTCACCCTCTTCAACCTCCAGCAAAACGGGTTGTCGGGTCCCATCCCCGATTTCTTCACATCGTTTCCGGAGCTCCGAGTCCTCAGACTCTCCGGCAACTACTTTACCGGGAAAATCCCAGCTTCAATTTCCGCTTTGGCGACAAAACTGGCCTACCTGGAGCTCGGCCACAACGCCCTGACCGGCCAAATCCCTGATTTTCTCGGCAATTTCAAGGCCCTCGACACCCTCAACCTCTCTAGCAACAAATTATCCGGTGTCCTACCTGAGAAGTTCGCGAATCTGACCAAGATCTTCAACCTCGATCTTTCTCGTAATTACCTCACCGACCCGTTTCCGGAACTGAGCGTGAGAGGCATCGAGTCCCTGGATTTGTCGTACAACAGCTTCCATCTGAAGCAAATTCCAAAATGGGTGACGTCGTCGCCGATCATCTACTCTCTGAAGCTCGCAAAGTGTGGGATCAAGTTGAAATTGGACGACTGGAAGCCGGCGGAGACGTATTTCTACGATTACATCGATTTATCGGAGAACGAGATTTCGGGGAGTCCAGTCGGGCTGCTGAACAGGACCGATTTCTTGGTGGGGTTTTGGGCTTCTGGGAATAAGTTGAAGTTTGATTTGGAGAAGTTGAGGATTGTGAAGACGTTGAAGTATTTGGATTTGTCGAGGAATTTGGTTTTCGGGAAGGTGCCGAGTGGAGTTTCAGGGCTGGAGAGACTGAACGTCAGCCACAATCATCTTTGCGGACCGCTTCCGGCCACCAAGTTTGGTGCTTCGGCGTTTCTGGGGAATGATTGTCTCTGCGGTGCTCCACTAGCTCCCTGCAAGTAAGGATGCAAAACCCTAGCAATAAGTTAATAAGTTTCGGTGGGAAATAATGCCACGTGACTGATGGCTTAGTTTTGGTGAGGACAATAAATAGGAAAATGACTTACGAAATGGATTTACAGTGATGTGGTAATAATAATATGTCATGCGTAAGTTTTTTCTTCACATAATATATTGATATTATTAGACTCGAACGTCATATATAATCAACTTGTTTCGTACAAGTTGCTTCAAGAAAATTATAGAAGGTGTAACTTTGTTATGCTGTATGTTATTGCAGAGTTAAGGATGTTTACTGTTGAAACAAAACTAAAGGGAATGGAAATGAAGGGAAAAATTTACTCTTTGGGAAAATCATCATTTTTTTCCTTTTCATATGATTTCTTTTGGCATCTGAAAGGGCAAATGCTCTATCTTGCCCATTGGATTCACCAGTTCCATTTTCATATCTGTTTCCTAATACAGCATCCTTGGTGAATGATGGTCTTTGTTTTATGGTGCCCCTTGTTCAAGCATGACCCAAAAAGTGGATCAAAAACATAATTGGGTGTCAGGTGTTGTTTTGTTAGAAGTAGGATTCTCTCTTTTTTTTTTTTTTTTTTTTTTTTTCTCTCACCTTCCCTCCTTTTTTTATTTGAATAATCACAAAAAGTGGATCAAAAACATAATTGGGTGTCAGGCGTTGTTTTGTTAGAAGTAGGATTCTCTTCTCCTTTTTTTTTTTTTTCTCTCACCTTTCCTCCTTTTTTATTTGAATAATCACGGTTAAGCCACGTTAACATCTTATATTAATTTTTTATAGAAAGAGAAAAATAAAATAGAGAATATGAGAGAAGGGTATGAAAGATGATGGAAGATGAGGGGAATTAATCCTACTTACAGTTGAATGTTTAAAAGCATGCATCTCTGCATCCAAGATCTTATGGGTATCTTTTCTTTTTTCCTTTGAATGAAAGGTCTTGTGCATATCATGCAGGTACAGTATAGGTTGCTATTTGATTACATTAAACACGCTGTCGTTTATCATAATTTGTGTACATTTGTAACATTACATTAACAAGATTCGCGGTATGGTTGTCAAAGACAAAATTTCCTCAAGTACTAATACTACCAATAGTAATACATAAATTATTATTATCATTTCTCAAATGTTATATCTCCGAAAAACTTTCGATATACATAAAAAAATAAAATAAAATAAAAAATTGGTGCACGACTTCATCGAAAGAAAATGATGATTATCTTCCATTATTGGAAAGGAATATGTGCCTCCGTTTTTACTGTTCTTCACCCTTATTTTTATTAGCTCACACACTAAAATTACTAAATGCCTCTGTGGGACACTGATAGGTGCATTATTTATCATATTTTCATATTAATTGTTTTTAAGTTTTGTTATGGAATTGATTATAAAAGAACCTTATTACTTTCCTTTTGTCAATTTCAGCTATTTTGCGCATTTAGAATGTTTTTTGTGATAATTTGACTTTCGGGAGGAGTTTTGATGCAAGGCTAATTG